CACGGGGACACCCTCAGCCCTCACCGCTTCTTGAGCTCATCGGGAGAGAACAGCGCATCCTCCTCATCCCCGTCCACGGATTTCTGCCGGACGTTGTACGGAGCTCTGGGGTGGGGAGGGAAGGGACAGCAGAGTCAGGGAATTGCTGTGGGGCAGCAGGAGCACAACACACGTGGATCCAAGGGAATGGGCCAGACCCTGGAAAACATCTGCATTTCCCGTGTGCATTGGGGTGGCCCTGTAGGATTTTGTTTCCTCAGCCCAGGGTCCCAGCCCTATTCCAGACCAGAGCCACAGGCTGGGACAYGAAAAGCTGGGCAGGAAATGCCCACGGTGCTGTCCTGCCACCGGGATCCCCCTTTCTCCAGGCTGCAGGAGGTGCAGCAATGCTCCAAACCCAGCTCCCAGGCTCTGCCCTCCAGCTGGTGCCTGGTGATAAAATCCCCTCCTTCCAAAGGCCCCTGCCAGCCCAAGGAGCAGCTCAGGCCCGCAGAGCCCTTGGAACCCCTTCAGTTCCCAGCCAAAGCTCTGGGAGCTCCCTGGGCAGCCCAGGAGGAGCAGCCCCCTCTGCACACTCACAGTTTCTTGTAGTCCTCCGTGGTCATCCTGTAGCCCGAGGATGACCGGCTCTGTCCCTTCAGGGAGGTGCTGTAGGGACACAAATCACACCTGGGAGTGYCACCTTCCCATCCTCCCCAGCCCCTTCCCTAGGGAGCTCCACAGGATGGGGGAAATGGAGTCATCCCAAATATCCCACTCTGATTCCAGGCAATGGTGTTTAATAGAAGGGCAGCATTTCTYTTCTTTAGGATTTAGCACTGGGATTTGAGTCTGCTTTGCTTCCCAGGGCCACTGGGGGTTGTTGGAGCCATTCTGGGTGGAGCTGCTCCATGCTGGGATCAGCCAGGGCGAAGGAAGGAGCCACCTTGGGCATCATCCTTCTCCCCAMATGAACCACACCGGGGCAAAATGGGGTTAAAAAAGGTTTCACTTGAGAGGCAACAGAGCCCCCACAGAAACCAAGAATCCCAGGATTGTTTGGGTGGGAAGAGATCTTAAAGCACATCCCATCCCAACCGTGCACCTTCCCCTATCCCAGGGTGCTCCAACCTGTCTTGGAACACCCCCAGAGATGGGGCAAAACTCCTCTGAGCCCCTGCTCAGATCAGAGCCACGCTTTGATCTGACCTATCAGAACAAACTGTAAGTGCCTTGCACAGGACAGGTTAAAAAAACACCACAAAAATCCCAATAAGACCATCAAAATTAAACATCCCAGCTTTGCAAGGATTCCCTGTGATCTGTCCCCCCTACTCCAAAATATTTCTCAAATTAACCCAGGGYCCCTGAGTCCTTTCAGAGCCTACTGACACTCCAGGTGAGGAAAACACGAGGTTTGATGTCTGGTCTGCTCTCAGATCTGTAGAATGCACAGCCAGAACTACYAGAATTTTATAGGGATTTAGGGGAGCTCTGGAATCCCATGAGCACTGGCCAAAGCTAGAGGATGGCTGGAAATGAGTGTTTAAAATCTTGTTTTCATAAAGAAAAAGAGAAAGAGAAAGAAAAAGAAAGAAAAGGAAAAGGAAAAGAGGAAAGGAGGAGGAAGAGGAGGAAAAGGAGGAAAATGAGAAAAGGAGGAGAAAGAGGAAAATGAGAAGGAAAAGGAGGAGGAAAATGAGAAGGAAAAGGAGGAGGAAAAGGAGGAGGGGCCACTCAGATACCTTTTCTGTGCCTGGCTGGGAGGTGAAGGGTCCGGCACGGATGGGCTCTTATCGATGGTCTTGGTGAACACCCCCCTGGGGAGGGAAGGGCAGCTGAAATTTTGGGCTGGAAAATGTTTGGAGCTGAGTTCAAACCTCCTGTGGAGCTGCGGACAGCTTGTCACCCCGAGCTCTGTGATGTCCCCAACTCACAGCACCCCAGAGGGAACATTTTCCCTGCTCGCTGCTCCTGGTTCAGCTCTCCTCCCCCTGCAGCCCAAAGCTCTCCTGTTCCACACCCACCTGATGAGATATCCGGACTGGGGCTTGGAGGGAGAGGACCTGAGCAAAGAACAGACACCAGTGAGCTCAGAAACACGGGAAAAACAACAGCATCATTAAAGGGGAATGTCCACGTGGATGGCAAACAAAAAAAACCAGCTAAAAAGGCCTGGAGGGATACTGCAGCTGGATTAACTCTGCAAGGATTTTTTTTTTAATGAATAATCATAGAACAAGCTTAAGAAACGATTTTTTTTAATAGGAAAAGTGAATTTTGGAATTATTCAATTAAAATCAGCCATGCTGGCAGTGCTCTGTGGCTCCAAATGGGGGAAATTGAATGTGACAGAGATCCTGGTGGTTCCATCCCTGGAAAAAAAACAGCTCCACACCCACTCCTCGGATGGGGCATTCCCAGGCAGGGAGCACAGCGTGWCCAGCAGTGGGAAGGGCTGGCACTGGGAAGGGGAAGGGAAGCAGGAGGTGATCCCAGGAGAGGGCAGAGCTCTCCAAGYTTTGGCACTGCCCTGGCAGAGCTCTCACAAGGGGTTTGATATTTCAGAGCCCTTCCCAAGGCTGAGGTTCAGGACACTCTTCCCACAAACTCCTGAGTTCTCTGAACCAAACCCAGCCCCACCCAGGGCTCCCCCCACCCCTGCCTGCAGCACTCGGGCATTCCACCAGCACAGGGTGTCCTATCCCAGCCTTGTGGGATCAGGGGTCCCAGGCATCATTCCTCTGGGTTCAAGGCATCCCTGCATCCATCTGGAGCTCTCAGGAGCCAACCCATGCTCCCTCCGAGGTCAGACATTGCTGGCAGCAGGAGCTGAGGAGGGGACATGCTGGGGAAGGGCTGGGACAGGCCCCTGGAATTACCTGTCCTGCTGGGGAGCAGCRGCTTTGGGGGCTGGGGATCCCCCACTGGCCCGGCCCAATCTGAGGGAACAGGAAAGGACAGAGTTAACTGAGGCACCTGCAGAGCACAGAATTTATGGAGYTGGGAGGAGAAGATGGATCTGGGATAGAGTTTGTGTCCAAGACGAGCTGGCMCAGGCTGGTGCTCCTTGGCACGGGGTACTGTGTGACATCCAGGGAGCTGATTGATCTCCTGGCTCTGCCATCCTAAACTCCCTCCCATCCAGGCCTGCCCTGAGTGCGTCACCCCAAGATGGTGAGGCACAATCTGGCTTCAAAATCTTTGGAGTTCTCCCAAGGTTTCCAATCTGTTTGTGCTGCTGAATTCCCAGCTCCAGGAGCAGACATTTGTCAGCGCTTGTCCCCACCCTGCATTTCTCAGGAGCAGCAATTCCYTGGCAGGGCCACTGCCTGGCATCACTTCAGGGACCCCAGAACTTGTCACAGCACATCTGGCACAGCTGGAGAGCCCAGAGCTCTGG